TCTATGTACATAAGTATATACCTGCCATTGTTTTTGTATGAAATTCCTATAATGAGGGTATGCCTTTGTGTATGTGCACGCTTTGCCTATGTGTGTGTGTGTGTGTGTGTGCGTCCGTCTGTCGCTGTGAGTCACCGTCGGTTGCGTCCATTAACGGGTCTGTTAACGACTCATCCCAGACCGCCAGACACCCCCCTCCCCCTTCCCTCTCCCCCATACCCCCTTCCATCTATCCCGTCAGTGGTTTTACGCTTTCGTCTAATTTCGTTTTTTCGGTTCAGTCCGTTAACGCTCGTCTTTCGTTTTTGTTTTCTCTCTCTCTCTCTCGCTGTGTTCTTTTTTTTTTTTTTTTTTTTGCTTTCGCTTTATCCTTTTTTTTCTTTCTTTCTTTTTCTGTCTCGCTGTGTTTTCTTTTTTTTTATTAATCTCTTTACGTTTTTTCTCGTTTTTTTCTTTTTTGTTTTGTTTTTTTTTTTTTTTTTTTCTTTTTGTTCCCTTTATTTATTTTTTTATTTTTGTTGTTTTTTTCTTTTTTCTCTTTTTCTCTTTTCTATTCTTGTACATACTTTTCCTGTCTTTTTCTCTCTCTTTTCCTCCCACTTTGATTACGTGTTTTTTTGTGAAGTTTACCGTTTATTTTTTTTTAAAGGTCGAATTGTTTATTTTATTTTTTACGCCTTTTGAAAAAAAATCTTATCTGTTTATCTATTTTTGTGGTTGGGGGGGGGGTTGGTGTGATAGAAGGATTAGGCCTACTGGTTGTCTTTTGGATTTTATTATCCCTTTGGAAAAATTGTGTTGTCTTCCTCGTGGACTTCTTTCTGTTTCTCTCTCCTGGTTTCGTTATTCTCTTCTCATATGTTGTGATTCTCTCTCTCCATCTATCTATCTATCTATCTCTTTTTTCTCTTTCTCTCTCTGTCTGTCTCTCTCTCTCTCTCTCTGTCTCTCTCTGTCTCTCTCTGTCTCTCTCTCTCTCTCTCTCTCTCTCTCTCTCTCTCTCTCTCTCTCTCTCTCTCTCTCTCCTCTCTCTCTCTCACTCTCTCTCTCTCTCTCTCTCTCTCTCTCTCTCTCTCTCTCTCTCTCATTCCCTTTCTGTCTCTTTCTCTTTCTGTCTTTGTCTTTATCTGACTCTCTCTTCCTCTTCCCCATTCATTATCTCTCTCCCTTCCCCCCTCCCCCTCCCCCCGCCCCCTCTCCGGCAACCAGAATCAACAAACAAAATTATTCCTTCTGCTGTCATTCTCTCCTCCATTCCCCTTTCTCCTTCGCTCCTTTCCCCGCCCTCCTCTCCCCATCTTCGTCCCTCACAACCCTCACAGCCCTTCCCCTCACACTCACAATCCGCGCGTCTGCAACCTTCATCTCCTTTCCTCTCATATCTACAGCGTCTACAACTCTCATATCTACAACCCTTATATCCCTCCCTCACGTTTCTACAAGTCTCACTCACTTGAACCGTATTCATGTTGACAAATGTGGAAAGGTATGAATGAGAACGAATATTTTCACAATACAAGAGATGTATTTAACCGGTTCCGATTTCTGACGAAGATATAATCGGAACCGGTTAAATACATCTCTTGTATTGTGAAGATATTCGTTCTCATTCAAACCTTTTCACATCTCACTCACTTCTATAAACTGGATAGCTTTTCTCTTCACGTTTATAACCCTCATAGCCCTTCCTCTCATATTTATAACTCTCGCAACTCTTCTACTCGCATCTACAACCCTGACATCCTTTTCCTGAGATTCAACCGTCACACCCACATCCCTCATGTCTACAATCCTCATATCCCTTCCCCAGGTCTACCCAACCCTCATATACTTTCTCCTCGCATCTACAACCCTCCTTTCCCTCCTCTCCCACATCCACTACCTCATATACACCCCCCCCCCCATTTACAACTCTCCTATCCCTCCTATATCTATAACCCCCCACAACCCTTCTTCCCTCGTCCTCACAACCCTCACATCTACAACCCTCCCCCTCCCTCCTCCCCCCCCATTCCGTGTAGATTTTCCATGTAGATGTGTTCGAATTCATGTATTCCGCCGTGGCTTAGGCTTCGTGTTGTTGGTGCGGCGCGCAGGTGGTTGTAAACATAGAGGGCAGGTGGCGCTGATGACATCCATGTGGACAGCTGGTGAATTAAAGGGCTTTTGGGGAGGGGGAGAGGAAGGGAGGGGGAGGAGAGGGAAAGAGTGGGGGAAAGGGAGGGAGAGGGATGGGATGGGAAGGGAGAGAGAGGGTTAGGGGGAGGGGGAGGTGAAAGGGAGAGGGGGAGGGGGGAGAGGCTATGTTTGTTTGTTTTGTTTTGGTATTTTGCTTTTTTTTGTTCGTCGTTAGAATGGGATTTTGTGGGCTGAGCGGATTAGGTGTTTTATGGAATGCTGGGTTCGGTTATGGGGTTAGAGAGCATGTATTGGCGTGTGTGTGTGCGCGCGCGTGCGTCGGTGCGGGAATACACGCATATGAGTGTACAAGTATACAGTTACAGTTACAGTTATTTATATGTATACACAGTACACACTTACACGCGCGAGCGCACACACACACACACACACACGGCGAACCACACGCGCAATCTCACACACGAAGCCGCGTCCTGAAGAAACAAAGGCCACACAATCTCAAGAAAATAAGGCTTCTTTAACTCCATCAAAACTTATACTTTGTTTTATTTTCTTGCCAAAAATTGCCTGCCAGCCCATGTCACACGCACGCACGCATACATACACGCACGCACACGCACATACGCACACGCACACGCGCACACGCACACGCACACACACACACACACACACGCGCACACACAACACACATAAATTTATGTGTATATATATATATATATATATATATATATATATATATATATATATATATATGTATATATGAATCTTCGTTGCAATTAAGCGTAGTCTCTGCAACTCCGCCTTGTCCCTTCAGTGCAGCCGTGATTCGCCGGTGACTCAGCAAATATTGACATCCTCGCAAGGCAAACTCGAGTCCGTGACTCCCCATCACCCCCCTCCTTCCCCTCCCTCCACCCTCTCCCCCTCCTCTCCTCCCCCCTCCTCCTCTCCTCCCTCTCCCCTCCCTCCTCCTCCCCCTCCCTCCCCCCTCCCTCTCCCTCCCCCTCCTCCCTCCTCCCTCCTCCCCCCCCCTCCCCTCCAACCCCTCCCCCCCTCCCCTCCTCCACCCCTCCCTCCTCCCTCCTCCCTCCACCCTCCCTCCCCTCCCTCCTCCCTCCAACCCCTCCTCCCCTCCTCCCTCCCTCCCTCCCTCCCCCCCCTCCTCCCCTCCTCCCCTCCCGCCGCGTGGCCGGGGAAGCGCGGGGGAAACTTTTGAATTTAAGGATTATGTAAAGGAGTTCATAAGTGAATCCGACTTTGGGGTTCCCTCTCTCGGCGCCCCTCTCCCTTCCCTCCTCCCCCCCCCCCCCTTGGTCGCCGCTACTCCCTCCCTCGCAGGATCCTCTCGCGGGGAGTAATGGCGGGGGATTTGGGCCAAGTGTTGGGCGTTGGGGGGTGGGGGTGGGAGGGTGGTTAGGGGAGGCCGCCCGCGCCGCCTTTTGTTTTTAGGGGCCGTCCTGGGCGCGCCGCTAGGCTCTCTTTTTATTGTTATTTGGGGGGGGGGAGTGAGGGAGGTGAAGGGGAAGGGGAGGTGGAGAAGGAGGGAAAGGAAAGGGGAGGGGAGTGGGAAGAAGGAGAGGAGTGAGGAGGGGAGGAAGGAGGGGAAGTAAAGAGGAGAGGGGAGAAGAAAGGGGGAAGGGGGAGGAAAGAGGGAAGGGGAGAGGGGAGAAGGAGCGAGGGAGTGGGACGAAAAGCGGGAAGGAGGGAAAAAGGGGGGGGGAGGAGGACTCTAGAGGAAGTAAGACCTTTGTTCGGGCGAGCGGGGGTCGTCGAGCCCCGGGAAGTGACTCACTGTTGGGGGAGAGAATCAAGAGTCCTAGTCAGGGGGACCTTGGGTGAGCCACGACGCCGCTGGACCCACTAAAGGGAGGTCGGCGGACTCGCTGGAGGGACGCGAGGGACGGCGCTGGACTCACTAGAAAGATGTCGCTGGACTCACTAAAGAGGCGTCGCTGGACTCACTGAAGGGACGTCCCTGGACCCACTAAAGAGACGTTGTTGGACTCGCTGGAGGGGCGTCGCTGGACTCACTGGAGGGACGCGAGGGACGCCTCTGGACCACTAGAAAGACGTGCTGGACTCACTGAAGGGACGTTCCTAGACCACTAAAGAGACGTTGTTGGACTCGCTGGAGGGCGTCCCTGCCATTAGAGAGACGTTTGTGGACTCACTGAAGGGACGTCCCTGGACCCACTAAAGAGGCGTCGCTGAGAGACGTCGGTGGATTCGCTGGAGGGGCGTCGCTGGACTCACTGAAGGGACGCGAGGGACGTCCCTGGACCCACTAGAGAGACGTCGCTGAACTCACTAGAAAGACGTCGTTGACTCACTGGANGCACACACATGCATGTATGCATATACATTGAGTGCGAGCACGGCGCAACACACGCGCACACACGTGCACACGCACACACAACACACACACACACACACACACACACACACACACACACACACACACACCACACACACACACACACACACACACACACAACATACACACACTTCTTGAAAATACATACACAAAAACACATTCACGTGCACACGCAAGCAAGCAAGCACACACACAGAGGCATGCACGCACGCACGCACGCACACGCATACACACACACAACACACATTCTATATTCATATATACAAATGTGCATATACATATACATTTATATATACATGCACATAAACATATAGGCAGACATTTACATACATGGTGCATTCATTGGACCCCTAACAAGTTCTCCTTTACTTGAGAAAAGGTAACAGAATTCTTGCAGCAATCAGTGAATAAACAGTTAAACCCTTCAGTGCTCTCTATTTCAATGCATCTCATTGGTAAAAGACCAATTCAGGTAATATAAAGATAATAAGTTTTCTGTCCTTTATAATAAATGAAGGCCAAGCTTAACTCGTTCATGTGTTCTATGTACATTTTCAATAGTGAGTTACTTTCTACATTCCTCATTCAATGATTTACAGGAAAATGGTTTTCATGATAACCACAAAGTTCCATATCTGACATGAATCTGATCTGTTCCCTCAGACTGCATGTCTATAACGCAAGTTACATACAGGAAACTGCAATTGTCTTCATTGTGTTCACATATTACAGCAGATATAATAAAATAAAAATAAAAAGGAATAAGGTGTGTATATCAATAATTTCTCTAACCAAAATTGTTTGTTGTTTTATACATTATACATTTTGACCTAACAACAATATCTGACCTCTACCTGAAAATCATCAGCCCTTAGATACAAAGCCAATGGGATGATCTGCAAATCCAATCTTACATATTTCATGGCTTACTCTTTAAGTATTTTTGTTGCACATTTTTAAAAAATAAATCCCTTATAAAAAGATTACATTACTCTAAACTTTTCCTGGGTGAATTAACAACCTATTTGAACAATGCTTGTAGCCAGACACCTTCCCCTCTTTATTCACCTGATGTTATAATCACAGGGAGTACTCACTTAAACATGATTTAATGATATGAAATTCTTTCCAACGAGCAGCAAACAGTGAACTTTATGGAAAAAATATATATACTGTATAGTATTAAATAGAACATATGTCAATAGAATCATCCCTATAACAACAATATGCACCATAGTTTGTTCACATTTCACGAAATATACTGCCTACATTGTTACTTTCTATCTACCCTAGGGGGCTTTAGGGAATGTTGACCTGTAAGTAATGCTTTATAGCATCATTGATCCCACACACTGTGCAAATAAACACCCATTTTCCTTATCAACACAAATTGGCATGAATTCAGTATGCATTACATTTAAAAAATAAAGAAAAATATATACATTTTAGTTCTGAAGATTTATGAGGCATAAAGCCATTTACCTGACACATAACAAGACTGTTCAAATATGACAGACCTGTTGTTTTATTATTTTTCTTTTTTGTTTTTGTTTTTTTGCATAAATAAAGAACTGACTTTATATTACAATAAACAAACTATACAGTTTGATTCTTAAACTAACATGGAATGCTTAGCAAAGAATTAATTTTCCACGCAAAACTGTATTTAACTTTGAGTCTACAATTATAAAAAGAAGGCATTATAAGGCATTTTGTATTAACATACTCTCAAACATTTGCATTTCTCTTGAAGGAACACTTACAGATATCTTTGAACAAAATGCTATAAAATGCCCTTTGCAGTGAACAGGATTACAGCTCAGTTAACTCCCCTTCCCCCAATCATGATCAAATTAATCCAAAAATATATGACCTTCAAAAAGTATATCTTAAATTTAGTCTAGAGCCATGCAAGTGAGTACTCCCCAGATAATCAGACAAGCACTAGAAGGCTGCCGCAGCTGGCTCATATGTTCGCTCTATGCTTATGTCGAAGTTCCAGAGGAAGTCGTGCAAGTAAACAAAAGTTGGTCTTTCTATGGGGTCCAGTTTCCAGCACTGACACATGAGCTCATAGAGCTGGTCAGGGCAGTATTTGGAGACTGGCTTACTCATGCGATACCCGCTCGGGACTATTTCAGTTACCTCTCGATTGCTCATCCCTGAAATGGACAAAAAGGTATTTTAGAAATATCTTCTATACACACACATATTTTATTATCAGGAACTGATGACTTCCAGGAAATATGAA